GGGAGTCGGCCCTGCTTGTGTTTGCTGATTAGGGTGACTAGGTGACGTGCCATAAATTCAGTGTTGAAGACAACTTTGCGCACAGTAGTGAATTGATAGAATAGCTCACAGCGGGTGGAGCTGGATTCTTTGTCAGGTTGTTTTCATATCGACCTTCACTCCACTTCTAGATTGCCAAGCTAGTTGATTCTTCCATGGGGTGGACGTTTTAGAAACGTGTACACAGTGTATGACAGCATATCACTGATGCCCTTCGCAAAGAATTGTCAACTTAATGGTACATCAAGTAATAATTGTTCTATATTGTGTACTGCACCATCCTTGGTTGTACAAAAAAGCTAGGACTGACTCAGGGTGGATCCACTCCAGGCAAACCCACTCCATGCCGCTGCAAACGGATCCACACCTTTGCTTGAAGCCGAGAAACTTCGCCACTTGTGAGATCAGAAACTGTATCACTGGGGTCCTTTGAATATGGAATAAGAATGAATAAGATTGTGCTAGCACTGCCTTAAGAACATCAATGCTTTTGAGGCCTGGCAAATCCTGACGCAATCGGCTGTCCCAACATCACCTCCCAGCCCTGCAGACAGAGGTTGAACAGTTCGTTGCCGAGGTTCGCTGCGCAAATCTTGGAGCTTCACGACATTGCTGAGTTCTCAGATTGACGAACTCAAAGCTTATACTAAATAGCTTATATACAACCTACTAGCGATGGCCTCCGACATAGATTTTGTTAAGGTGGCCTTATTACATTTTGTCTTGTCCTCCAGAACATTTTTGGCAGCAAGTTGACTGGCAGACTGGCAGAGGAATTACTGGTTCACCTGATTGTTTTGTTCATGTATGTTCTAAACCAATGAAGTTTATGACACTCCAGAGTGCAGCACTCATCAGGCTCAGACATGAGCACTCTGTAACTCACCCATGAGTCTGGTTTGTTTGGTGCACGTTCACCATGAGTCTTTGCATCTCCATGTTCAAGTTAGAGTCCACCATCCATTTGTCGTAGCCTCACATGTGTGGAAAGTCCAGCCAAAACAAATACTGACACACGAGCCGTACAACGGACTCACGAATGAATTGCTGAGGTGAGAGTTTTGCAGAGACACGTTGGGCTCTTTGAAGCTTTTGTCAGCCATGATTGACTGTGCAGTTTGCTCGGACAAAGCAAAAGGAGACAAGTGAGACAAGATCGTGTGGACTTCTCCCTAGCGGCCCTAGCAAGTTCACAGCCCGCAATACAAGAGTTTTGAAGTGTGGATTTTTCCTACCCGGCGTCGCTTACCAGCATTGCTGCATTGCTTGTTTTGTTTAACCTGGAGACCTCCATGACTGTAGATAAGTTAAATTGATAAGTGACCAGCATATTGTGCAATGGGTATAGGATGTTGATGAATATATTTTTTGGTCCCTACAACTGCTGATAAGTGCTGTCACGCGCGGAGCCCCTGCAGCACTGCAGGGTGCTTTGGTAGGTGGCCTAGGTTGTATGTTGAGATATACTGAGTAGTATCCTCAGAATTGTGGTGCATGATGGGTAGCGGAGGAGATCTTTGTTTTGACTGTTGTACTGTAGACTGTAGATCTATTTTCTCTCAATATCCACGAGTCCACCAAGGACGCTACTCGGGGCTCCTGGCCTTACTACTAGGAACAAGAAGCTACTAGGGGCTCCTGGCATCACTACTAGGAGCAACGACGCTACTAAGTTTGTAGATTAGATATTGTTTGGTGGATTCATGGCGGTCCTATGCCATTGTCACACCATTATGTTGCGTGCTCAACCTTTGCTCCCTGGGGACATTGAGGCAGCTGGAGGTTGGCGCTGGTTTTACCGCTGCTTGGTAGCAAATGCAGAGATGCATAGAGATGCATACTGCAACACGTTCATTCCCTTTGCACGAGGATCGTCATTTGATTTTGCCTCTTTTGGTAAAGCAGTGCTAGTTCGAGTTCTGAGGAGATGTTGTCAACGTGATTTGTATTTGCAGATGGCTTAACATGGCTTAACCATATTATACTATATGCTTGAACCACAATGAAGCATTGTTGAGCCTCTTGCGTTTGCCAGAGATTCTGACCTCGCCTTGTGAACTTCAGGGGCACTGTAGGCATTAAAGACTGCGTTAAAGTGTCCTAGGAATCCGATGTTGCCGCCGGGCTGATACTTCAGCAAGAGAGCGCGCCGAAACATAGACAGACAAGGTTACTTCAAGTCGAACGCACTGTCAGTACAAGTGGAAAGAAATAAAAAGATGTGTATCTAGGGTATTGCAGAGCAGATGGACTTGAAGAACTGCATAGACGTCAGCAAGCAGCCACTTACCATTTCACAAGGAGCTTCGATCAACACTCTGTCAATCAATATGTGGTTGTGTCCCTTTGAAGCCGTAAACTGCCTCAGTTGGACGAAACTGTCCCTGAGTCCCTGGTGGTTGGGCCGGGTTAAAAAGAGCTGCAGAACGTGGCGGGTCATGCAATAGGCCTTCAAATGCAACAGACTTTGATTGCGACATTGATCAAACATGCTGAAACAGAGAGCTGATGGTACGATCAGACTTGGCAGTGCGGCATTTGAATCCTTAGTTTCGCTATAAGTGCTTAACTTTGCATTGCTTCCATTATGATACTATATAAATATACTTCAATCAGTGTTCCAACGCAGCTATTTTCTCAAAATAGTTATCTCCAAGCATTTTTTGTTGGACTTGCTTGAGCATTTAAATTCCACCTCACTCCGACAATGTTCAAAAGATAGATGTTCCCTTACCCAAAGGCCTTCCAATTTACACAGAGAAGCACTGAAATTACAAACAGTTTATAGCCAATCATTAACCCTAAATAAGACAGAGAGAAGCGCTGTTGCGGCCATGGCCTCAGAGGTGAAGCAGATCCTCGATCGCTTCGCGGATTCCTCGGGCTGTTTGGATCGGAAGGTGCTTCTGCGAACCATTTGCCGTGTGGCACCAGATCTTAGCTCGAAGCCTGGAGCAAAGACGATTCGCTTGCCAAGAAGTTTGCTAGTAGGGTGGAGGCCATCGCTATTAAAAACAAAGGAAAAAGAACAGGAAAAAAGATGAAAAAAGATGCTATACGGGTTTTCTGTGTGAGGGGTTGTTCCAGTCATTTTCAGCCTAGTGGGCGAGGTGGGCTTGGCTGGGGCAAGTAAGGCTTGCAGTATTCACGATGGGTTCATGGGGCATTAAAAGGAAGATCGAAAAGGAACGCGTTGTTGTGTAGTGGAACCCGCATGCCTCCAGCTTGTTCTTGAATTTCCCCGACATTGAATTTGCTTGCAGTCGAAGGCGAAAGCGGCTAAGAAAAGGATACGCACAAAAAGACTCACAAGTGAGATCGTTCTTGCTGACAGCTTGGACCAAGTTCGGATCATATTTATATTGTACACACCATTATAGTTATATAACTATATATACGTACTGGGCTCTTGGAACAATTGGATAGTTCAAATTTCATGTCATTGAGTCATGAAGCTAAAGCTTTCGTTGTTTGAGGCGACAGGTGGAGCTCCTCCTCTCAAAGCTTGGAATTGGAGAGACCGAAGTGCCTTGCCACCTCTTCGTTGAGAAAATCTTCCGAAGATATGAATACAAGGCCTGCAGGGTAAAACCAACGCAGCAACTGATATATTGGTGATGTTCCCGTTGGTCCTGAAAGACCTGGACCTTTTGAAATTATTTTGCCTTCGGAAAGTATGACGATTTCATCAGATGCAGGGGCATTCCAAGCGATATGGAAATCCGGAAGTGGCATGACAGGTGACACTACGAGCTGTGTCTATCCGAAGCGATTGGCAGCTGCCTGTGGTTTTGGCGCCCCTCCGCGCACGTTTGCATGCACTGGGCGCATCTGATGTCTCAGTCATCATGGAGGTTGGCCCGGAGGCACGTTCTGGAAGATGTAAAATTTTTGCTATTTGGCCCTAGAAATCTTCATGGACATGCAATGGACACATAATGGACACACCGCCATATGCTTACACTGAATACTGATACTATGATACTATGATACTATACTATACTATACTATACTATACTACTGACTAAGCACTTACCCAAGGGAAAACCTTTAAAGTAGTTGATACTTGATATGCTTCACCTACTCTCTGCTCTCCAGGCATTCGTCGCCCTTTGCAACGAAAGGCTAGAAGAGATTGTTCGAGGTGAAACAGGAGATGCTGTGATGAAGCAGCTGGATAGCTGGACTTCCATTCTACACTAAAGCACCAGTCTGTTGAAGACCTGCGGATGGTGCTGGTATACAGTAGCTTGCGTGACATCACAGAACATGCTAGATTGCATGGTGAGCTGCTGTTAGGAGACAAGAGGTAGACGCAGAAAACATACCATTTGACCGGACCTGTCAACCTTATATTTGGAGCGGCAAGGTTTGAGTATAACATGTGTGTAACATGTATGATTATAATGTAACTATCCAAAGCCCTCGAAGAACTGACTGCTATGAATACGCACTGTGGAAATGAGTAGGACTTGCAGAGCGAAGCACTGATGCTTCAGATTCGCCCAATGTTGCATCCCGACTTTCAAGAGGCTCCTTTTAAAAAAGTCCTCAGCCCTGAATCAGGCCTGTCGCCTCAAGCTGTCAACTGCTTGATATGTTTCACCCCAATATCTCCAAGGTGGAAGTTTAGAACCGGCAATGTCAAGTATGGCCAAAGTGCCATAGTGCATCAACAACAGCCGATTGCCAGAGAACGATAAGGGCAATCCTATCAGAGGGCCCCAAGTCGTCCAGAGTGCCAAAGAGCAAGCCGAGTCATCGAGCGAAGTCAAGTACTTTGAGCAGCCACGCCACACAACTTTATTATGAGTAGTTGAGCAACATCGTGTATATAGGCAAAGCAGAGAGAGAGAGAATGGACGGAGACTGCATTCGCCCTGTGTATCTTATTTGCATGGTTTGCCTTGATAGGAAAAACTGCCTTTGTTCATTCCTTTGCAGGGCCAAACTGCATGCAGGCGCACTGGTCGAAAGCTGCAGCGACTGAAGAAGTTGGACCCAGACTTCGGGAAGGCAACTTGCCAAGAATTGTTGTTCAAGCAAAACATGTCAGTGAACAATGTACCTCAGCCTGCGACGGCAGGTTCTGAACTTTGTCGACAAGCACAGTAATGCAAAGATAGGCGGTCTGCAGCCTTTTGATTCAGCTGCGTGTGACGATCGTATGGCATCGCATCACACTGGAGTCGTTTTATTTTTGTCTCAAGACCTTGCAAATGACGGTATATAAAATTTGACGAGTTTACATGCTGTTCAGCGTAATTGATCGGTGGGAGGGTGAAAACAAAGCCTGTTTGCAGGAATATAGTTATGTTATATAATTATACGGGTATACCTTTTTCACTTACAGTCAGCCAGTTGTTTGATGTGACGTCATAATCCCCAGCGTTGTGCAATGCCGCGCCGACAATTTTGCTCATTGGCTTTGCAGGCTTTGCATGTGTTTCCATTGTTTTTGGTTATCAAAATGTTCAGTGTTGGGGGCCATTCTCAAGGCAATTCATACATCATTTCCACAACAGGCAAATTATCGCATGAGAAAGATGCATGATTGTTTCTTTGGCAAACTGGACCTCCTTTGACTGTAGGTCTTTGTAGGACAAATGGCCGCCTTTCGTGGTCTTATGAGACTTGCAGCACTATTGCTTTCCTTGAGCTTGGCAAGAGCTCTTCCAATCGATCCAGAAGAACATGTGTGGCATGGCTTCAATAGGTATCAAGCAAACTCAAATCAAATCAATCCTGTTCATTTTGCTTTGTTGTTGGAGTCTATATGGGGATCCGGGATAGGGGCGATTGGTGTCTGATTTCGAGAGTTAGATGTTCTTGACATTTAGATGCAAAAGCAAAATCTTCCATTGAAGCCAAGGTGTACAAGTATGGTAGAATGATGTGAAGCTAGCACTTACCCGGGGCTGAAGAATAGTGCAGGGTTCCGGGGCATATTGGGGTTGCTTTCCTTTGCTCCAAAATTGCACATCAAAACGAAAGTGGAAAGGACTTTCGGCCTTTATGGAGACTCCAACCTACTAGCGATGGCCTCCAACCTAACAGCGATGGCCTCCAACCTAGTAGAGGGTCTTTTTCTTGAGGTCTTCTTCTGGGCTCTTCAGCCCCACTCGAAACCTCAGCGAAGCTGCAAAGTATATGGCTTGGGGTGCTCAGAGGCCACTGGAGCAAACCAGCAATCAGTCGTTCATGATAATAAGAATATATGAGAGTAGCAAGTTCCAAATTCACAAGAGCTAACTACAGTGTATTATATATACTATATTCCGTGAATCCAGATTATGTTTCATTTAGCGCCAAGGTTTTGAATGGATACTTCAACTGCTGAGTTTCAACAATGTTGAAACCAGAAAGGTTAGTTTCAAAGCTGCCAGGGGCTGTGGACGATGCTTCTTTTACCTTGGAGCTATGTTGGCATTGGGTGAACCAGAGACCAACATCTCGGCCCGCTTCAAAGTTCTACAAGATGGCAACATCGAATTCCGGTGGCATGGCAATGGCAATGGCTTCCTCAAACAAATGTGATTGAATCGCGGATATGCGGATAGGCTATGATTGATGAACGTGTACAGTACTTCAATCAAGCATTCTTCTCACTCTGATCCCAAGGCAGAAACACCTGTCAACTTGGGTTGAATTACAAACAATGGAATGATGTAGCTGGCCTGCAATGCTTAGGTGGGCCCGTGGCTTATCCCGGGCCGAAGGCTTGCCTCCATCTATTTCCACGCTGGACCGGCCGGCCATAGCCTACTATGTGGGTGCAGAGAAGGGAGATCCATTGGCTGTGCTGGCGTTCTCGTGACCCTGCGGAATGTATTTTGCTTAGGAATGCTTTGCCAATTTGATATTTTGTCAGCGTACATTATTCCTCTTGGGAATCGACATCATTTTTTGCAATCTCCATGGTGGAGAAATTCCGTGTGTTCCACATCTTTTCCACATGTTTTCCACTAGGTACTACGTTCTGAACCGCATCACTTTGGGCTCTCCGGGAGCTGCCTGGTGGACCACCACTCAGCACTCGCCTGCGTCAGCTCTGCGCAGGAAGCCCTGGAGGGAGGAGGCCACACCAGCGCCACCTGGCAGACTCAAAGTGGACTCAAACTTCACATAGCAGAATTTGTGTTCATTCCATCTCATGCGACTCATGCCCTATGCCGTGTGCAATCCAGCAAGGTCTCTTTTTGCATTTTGCAACAGGCTAGACCCTGGCCTTTGGAGTTGAGGCTTTGCCAGCGGATCCTTCGCACTTTGGAGAATGTGGCGGACACAGCAGCGCGGAACGAGGTGCCGGTCCCTTTTTGACTTTTGCTGCTTATATATTTGTGAAAAACACGTGAATGTGTTTGACTGGCTTATCAGTTTGGTTTCTGCTGGAGTTGAGACAAGTCATGCCAGCGAAGCCCCAATTATGGAGGGTACTGCTGCTAGAGTAGTGGTCAGAATGCCGAGAGGTCTATCACGGTTTCATTGTCTCAGGACAACGCACTAGACTTCAGTGATCTGAACTTTTACGTGCAGAATGCCACAGAGGTGAAACGCGCTAAGAAGGAGCATGCTGATGCTCACCTTATATAAGGGAACATGAGAATGAGGGCGAGTACAAAAGGCGAGCCCACAGTCCATCCACAGTCCTTCACTTCCCACTTCAGCAAGAGAGATGTGTTGACGAGGCCAGGTTGGTGGTTCGCGCAACTCACCAGAAAATCATACACTCCTTGGCAACCCAGCTGGATCCTAGGATTGGATAAGGGCACATTCCAAAGATGGTGACAAGCAGGCGGAGGTGGTTGAGGCAATGTCACTTGGTGCAAACTTTGATCTTGCCAACTTCCCTGTACTTGCTATGGGAATGCAGATGTCAGTTATTTATGAATCCAAACACATCGCATCCATTCCACCGACCTTCCCCAGTGCAAAGTTGCTTTGGAATTAATGCGTTTTTACACAAGACACACAGGCCCCTATCTAGTAGTACGGCCAGGAGCCCCTAGTAGCGTCCTTGCTCCTAGTAGCGATGCCCTTTGCTCCTAGTAGCTTCTTGCTCCTAGTTTCCAGCCTCCACAGGCACCTTTTTCCGGCTCCTCACAGCAGAGGTATCTTTTCCACGGCGATGCGGATTTGAACCTGTCCCGCAACGTCTCACGTGCCCTGGAGCTCTTTGAGGCCTCAGCCCGTATCACGGCCGAAGCCGCCTGGAATTCGATGTTGCCACTCAGCACAGTTTGGTGCAAGAAAGTAACGAGCCAATCATTGTACAGAGAGAACGAGAGAATGGGTAAACATACGCAAACGTTTTAGTGGATCCTTTGAAACACCATCATTGATCAAACCTTGGACGTAGGTTGCTGTAGCCGAAGATACAATGATTCAATTGTGCCAATCGCGTGTTTCTCATTCAATCTCAGACAATGGTCACTTAGACGAGTGTCCAGAAGTATACCCAATCACTGGCTCAGCCATTTCTGGAGCAGGTGATTTAGATTAATTTTGTTCCTTGTTGACAGCAGTTTTTTGTTTTTCAATATAAGCCTCAGTCCATCTCTATTGACCCAAACGTAGGCTCGACATCAGTAAGTGCAGGGATTCCAGTCACAAATTTGAGGCCTGGGAGTATCAGTACCTAGGTCATTCGAGGTCACCCTAGGTCTTAGACTTGGGACATCCTGCACAAACTTCAGAGTTCTAGTCGGCAATTTTTTTGTCTTTCAATAGTGTGTCATAATGTGTCGTCGTAGGCTGAACGGGTTGTGTGCTGTGAATTGCTGCCGAGGTTGCACGCACGAGGAGGGCATGACTCAAAAATTGTCCACCATGCCCAAAACATCATCCAGGACAGGAGCGTACTTAGCATCATTCTGCTGCCGGCAATCGGTTTGTGTGGATTTGTTTTCAGGATCCAGAGGCCACGCCCCTGCAAAAGACCATGTCTCAGCATTACCTCCACCGCTTCGGAGCAGACGACACCCTCCAAAACAGTACGCGTGCCGGCGTCTATTTGTTGGCAGCAGCCGAGCTTGGAGATTCGAATGCACAGCAAATGACGCTCGCCGGGGTATGTGAAACGATTTCCAAACGTTTTGTAGGGAAGGCTATTATGTAGGCATTATTACCCCATTGATGACACCAGAGAAGGCTATTCATTATTAACTAGACTAATCAACAATATGTAAGTCTGTGTAGAGGCTGTTCATTGCTTGTGGGCTTCATGGCCAAATGCTTCGCCATAGTCCACGGTTCGCCTTTGCGTGAAAGACTCACGCCCTCCAGGATTGCTCATGCTTATGCAGGGCTCGACCTTCCAGAGCTGAACAATGTGAAAGTGCCAGGCACTCCCAATGCCAAACGTGCCCTACACTTTTACATGAAAGCTGCCAAGCAAGGACGGTCACTTGGTGTCAGAGTCTTGCAGACGGGAGATGAAAGGTAGCGGGAGAGAGAGAGGGAGAGAGAGAGAGAGAGGGAGGGAGAGAGAGAGAGAGAGGGAGAGAGAGAGAGGGAGCGAGAGAGAGAGATAGGGAGGGAGAGAGAGAGAGGGAGAGAGAGAGAGAGAGGGAGGGAGAGAGAGAGAGGCGTCAAGATACAAGCTCTTTTACAATAGCATGCTTACTCCATCGTAGTGTTCATGTACAATTGCTTGGTGCTATACAATGCACCTTGGATCGAGGCCTTGAGCCTAAGGACAGTTGCCAAGAGGAAAACAATACAGAGACGTGCACAAACAAACGACAAACAAACAGCTGCTGAATTTTACATGGTAGCGGAGCAAGGATCCTGGTAACAACAATCCAGGTGAGCTCCAATACAACCACAGGAACAGACACACAAACACAGACAACAGAGGACAAGCCTTGACCCTACAACAGGTAGCTTGAACAGCTGCAACAATGGCAGCACCACAAGCAGCAGCTCAAACTGGAGACGGCCTGCCTCCAGTTCCAGAAGATGAGACAACTACAAACATGGCAAACATGAACAGATACAAACTCAAACCACCTTTCTTCAATGGAGACTATGGCACGTTCGAGGAATGGAAATACAAGTTCACAGCATACATGGGATTGCAAGACAATGACTACACAGATTGCTACAAGCAGCAGCACGAGGCACAGCAGAACTTACAGAAATACAACTAAGAGCAGCGGCATCAACAATCGAAGATGGTGAACGACATGTTCACCTCAGCACCGACTTGAGGTACATCCTCATCAACACAACAACAGGAGCAGCAGCTACAGTCTGCAGACAATACCAACACACAATCGGCTTCGAGATGTACCGACAACTGTGCATCCGCTTCTCCATCCCATTGGGGACAAGATCCATAGGACACTTGACAAGATTGTTGAAACCAACATTTGACAAGAACAACTTCGAAGAATCATTTTCCACATGGGAACTTGAGCTACAACGATTCGAGCGAGACAATGGACAAACACTCCCAGACTCCGTGAAGATTGCCGTAGTGCTCAACGAGACAAGTGGACCACTACAACAACACCTACAACTGCTTTCAGGACAAAGCCCAAACTATGCACGAGTCAAACAAACCATCATCGAGTACTACAGGTCAACAACGGCATTCAGCAAACTACAACAACTACGATCACAATCGTCCAGCGTGGCGACAAGCTTCGGTGGAGGACAAGAACCTATGGACAGTGATGCAATCCACAAAGGAAAAGGCAAGTACAACAGTTACAAAGGAAAAGGGAAAGGAAAAGGAAAGAACAAAGGCAAAGGCTACGGAGGATACAACGGCTACGGATATAACAGTTACAACAACAATTACAAAGGAAAAGGAAAGTATGGAGGAAAAGGATTCAACAACTACAACAACAGTCCGATCGGCTTCGGCAATCCATTCGGAAGAGGCAACAAAGGAAACAAAGGATTCAGCAAAGGATACAACAAAGGCAAAGGAAAGAACAAAGGAAAACAAGCGACAGACACATGCTACAGAAGCGGACGAACAGGGCACTATGCCAAAGACTGCCGAGTGGCAATACACAACATTGGACAAGGAGAAAGCAATGACATTGAAGACACGACAGCACAATGGTACTACGATTACTATGACAATGGATGGTACTGTCAGGACTACACGAGACAACAACAAGGACAACAGCCATTGGCACTTCCGCCAACTCCATCCACCAGCAACCACGATATGACACCAATCCATGTCATCGCCATGATCAGCAGTGGCAATGACCACAAGACAGACCCCACAAGCAGCGGCGCAACAGACTCTATGCACATCATGATCGACAGTGGAGCAGCTACACATGTCTGCCCACTATGGTTTGCAGACAACTATCCAGTGTACAAGATTGACCAAGCACACAGCCCAAACCTCAGGACAGTGACAAAAAACAATACAATGCTATGGAGTAAGATGGGTCTACATGCAGTCAAGAGGACAACCAATTGTCATACCCTTCTACGTGTGTGACATTCACGACCCAATTCTGTCAGTGACAAGACTGGCAGAACAAGGATTTGACATCAGGTTCAACGACACTCCAACGATGCGCCATGACGAGGGGTTCAATGTTCCCTTGGCGCAGCAACGCAACCTCTACTACTTGCCAGCAACAATCATGAACCTGGGACAACATCAACAACTACAGCTGAGACATACACAAAAGGGCACGATTGCAATGATTGCCCCAACAACATTGACAAAGCATGGACCGCAACAAGTCCTTGGAGGCAACAGCGACTATTGGAACTACAACAATGAAGGATACCTTGTACGGTATCACCGGAACAAGAGGAAAGCTCCCAGTACCACTGGAGACATTGAGCCACTATAGACGAACAATCATCCGACGAACAGACGGGAACAACGACGACATTGTTGAACAATACCATGACTTGAGCAAGCACGAACAACGACGAGTGATACAAGGAAACACATGGACAGGAGAAACATGGTTCAGAGTGAACAAGCCGCCAGCGCAACCGGCAACTACAACAGCGAAGACAACCAAGCAGACAGAGAAAGCAACACAGGCACCACAAGCACGACACCAATCAACGCTACAACTCCCGGAACAAGACGGAACAACGCAACAGGTAAGCGGAGAGCCACTGTACAGACACACAACGAAGAAGCCAGCACCAACAACTACGGCAGTACCTGATCCATCCACAATGACACCAACAGCAGACTATTGGATCAGAGAAGGACACTATTGGAAACGAGTTCACGTACAGGTACGGACGACAATGTACGTACCACAACAAACAGACGATGGTCCAGACATTGGACGACTCAAACCGACACGGACAACATTCGTGAACAGAACGGAACAAGGAAAAGGATACACAATCCATGACAACTGGCACGAATCAGGAGCAAGACAGCTTGACAGACAATGGACAGGTTCAACAAACTTCGAGGAAGAGGCACAGTACAAGTACGAGTACGACACGGACAATGAAGATGAATCTCAACAAGCACAACGCGCCAAAGGGATGAAGGCGCCACAACAGCCAACAAGACAAGAAAGACTAGAACATGAGCTGACACATTTACCATACCGCTCATGGTGTCCAATATGTGTCAAGAGCAAAGGAAGAACAGACAATCATCCAAACCAAGCAAGCAAACAACCAGTGATACAAGTGGACTTCACCTACGTGAAAGCATTTGGAGACAAACAAGTACTACCAGTACTGACAGCAATAGATGTCGATTCAGGCATGGCAATGGCAGTTCTTGTACAAGACAAGAACCAACAACAACAATACCTAACACGATGTCTACAAACATTCATGTTCGAGTGTGGACGAGCGCAAGCAACACTATCTACCACAAGACTACCATCAGACCAAGAAGAATACATACAGAACCTACTGAAGGCCGTCGCGCAAAAGCTCGGAAACAACGTTAACATCCGACAATCACCGGCGTACTCATCACAATCACAAGGAAGCATTGAACGATTCCATCGCACCTTGATGGGACAAGTCCGAGCACTGGTACAACAAGTGACCACAAGCTACAACCTCACATTGAGCGTACAACGTCCGATCATGCCGTGGATCGTGCGGCATGCAGCATGGCTACCGAACAGGTACGCCATACACAATGACGGACAAACAAGTTACCAAAGACGATGGCAGAAGGACCACAAAGCACCACTATGCGAGATGGCAGAAACAGTACAATACATGATACCAACAACAAAAGCACAACCCAAGATGGAGCCAAGATTCTTCAAAGGAATCTGGCTTGGCAGAGACACAATGACTGGAGAGCCAATAGTTGGCACCCCTGGCAAGGTCATCAGAGCAAGAACAATACGAAGACAGACCATGCCAGACAAGTACGACAAGCAACTATTGGATACTATCAACGTGTATCCATGGAATTTGCCAACACCAACAGCGGCAATTCCACCACAATTGCTTCTACCAGCTGACAACACCGCAAGCAGACAAGCAATTGGCACTCAAGCCGACATGACAGTGGAAGATACAAGCGCACAGACAATACAAGAGACACCACTGGCACTACCAGCACGAGCAATGCGCCATCAGCCAATGGATACGACAATGGCAACATCACCATTGGCAACTTCACCAACAACAGTGGCAAGACCACCACTGCCAACACCACCAGCAAGCAAGCGACAACACGAGGAGCCTACAGGCGAAGCGCAATCCAAACAATCAAGGACAGCGGAGTCCTCAACAGCAGCAAACCGAGGACAAGATGAAGAACAACCAAAAGCAAAGATGAGAATACAAGCAGCGACAATCACCACAAAGAAAGGTGACAAATCACCACAGCATCCTGTGAAGATGAACAAGAAGCAGACGTGGAGAGGATGCTACAAGAACCCTTCGTCTACGACAATGAAGGTCTTGATCCATTGAAAGTACAACCAGGAATGAAGAAAGAAGCACAATCGATGAAGACACAAGGAGTGCTCACAGAGATGAACTACAATGATGTCCCTGAAGAACACTAGAACAGGATCATAGAATCCAAGTGGGTCAACAAGCCCAAACAAGATGAAGTGCGATGTCGCATAGTAGCAAAAGGATACTTGGAAACAATCCAAGACCTTGACAACATCTATGCGAGCACACCAATCTTTGGGATCTTACGTATCCTACTGACAATGGCACAGCACAACCACTGGACAATACAAGCAGGAGATGTGTCAACAGCATTCCTACATACATCAGCAGCGACAGACAATCATTATATGTGGCCACCACCAGAACTATATCCAAGTGGTCACAACACAACCACAGTGTGGAAGCTCAACAAAGCAATCTATGGACTACGATCAAGTCCAAATCCTGGCAGGATCACTTTGCACAAGTCCTACAACACATGGGACTGTCTCGACTGACAAGTGAACCCAACGTGTACAGGAACAATGAACAGACAATGTTTGTGATGGTCTATGTGGATGACCTACTATTCCTGGGACAACAGCAAGAAGTCGACAAGACTTTCAAAGAAGTACAAAAGCGTGTACTACTACGACCAACCGGCACATTGGGAATTGGTCAGACAATCCAATTCCGAGACTTCTTTGAGGTAAGTCTCAAACCAGAATACATCACCACATTGCTGAAGGAAACAAAAATGGAAGCGACGATCGTACAAACAGTTTCACAACCATGGCAGCATCTATGCGTGTACAATACACACACGGGGGCATCAAGCCATGGCACACTACTTTAGCTACTATGTGCATACTATGTCATAGACAACGGGCCCGACTTTCCTTTCCGTCGTTTCGGAGAACAATTCGATGAACAGTGTGTTTGAAGTTTTGCTTTTTGAATTTGGAAGACAAGCATGTTTGGGTGACAATTTGTCGACAAAATGTGACCGCAGCCGCTCTTTCAAGCTCGCAATCTGTGACAATTTGCATCGACTTTCTCGCGAACAAGCTCAAGGGCATCAATGGCAGTTGAGATGATGACAATCCCTGACTATACACAATCAGCGCAGGTTGCCAACGAACTCACCAATCTCGCTGTGGGATGACAGGGCAATCATCTACAATGAGGATCGGATTGAAAGCCAGATCCTCCAGCCATCGAACTACAAGGATAGCGCATGGATCGATGTCCTTGACAATGTCACGACATACTGATTTGCAGCGGTTACAATGGCAGAATGCACCAACATGTTGAACGAAAACAATGAGATCGACATGCTGCCGTGTAAGCTGCGAAAACCTGGAAATTGGGAACAATTCATTTAGGTTCCCACAACAGAGGAAGCAATCCAGTGGCTTGCATACCATCAATCGATGGGTCACACAATGACGAGCGAAGACACAATCGTGTTGGCAATAGCCTTTGATGCACACAACATGGTGCATCACATGTCACAAAAGAAGTTGTCATCGTTCCAACGGGGATACAGCGTTCAGGTCCTACAAGTCCATGCTCCCCACAACTATCGCTTTACAGAAGCAGAAAAGAACGATCTGCGAGCGGTCCACCTGAACTACAATGCCGCCAACAAGTTTGACAAGTACAGCTGGTCAAACGGTTGGATTTGGAACTATGGCCACACAATGCACGTGAGGTCAATGCTGACTATTTCAGAGGATTCGCCTCACCATACAATCTTTGGGATGGCTTTGGCGCACCTTGGACAATTCGGCCAATCGCAGCTCCCGCCAGATGTACAGTTGGCCCTTGGAGTGTACAAGGCGGACAAGAAGATTGATACCACGTGACAATTCCAAAGAGGCATCATGAACACAGCTCCTACATCAAGGAGCGAGACAGGACAATCGACCTTGAGAAATCCGAGGATGAAGAGGAAGAGAAAGGAACAAAACGTCCCAGACAATCCTCGGAGGCCCCAGACAATCAGATGGACGACGTGGAGGGCTAAAACAATGGCTCAACAAGCTGCAGATCTCCAGCTATGACAATGCCATACGAGCACAACGATGAGAAGAGCAACGATGCTGGAAAGACAAGGCAGAAAAGATGTACAGACTTGCCTACAATGTTTGAACTGCTTTGTACAATAATGTTTCTTTACAGTTTCAACAATGTCTGTAGTGATGGTGTGATTCCACAATGGTGTCAAGATACAAGCTCTTTTACAATAGCATACTTACTCCATCGTAGTGTTCATGTACAATTGCTTGGTGCTATACAATGCACCTTGGGTCGAGGCCTTGAGCCTAAGGAGAGAGGGAGAGAGAGAGAGAGAGAGAGAGAGGGAGAGGGAGAGAGGGAGAGAGAGAGAGGGGGAGAGAGAGAGAGGGAGGGAGAGGGAGGGAGAGTGAAGAAATGCGAGAACCGTGTCACTTGCCACAGAAGCCTACTTAGGCCAGTGTCAGCCGTGAATGCTGTGTCTCTCATGTTGCGGCAAGGAGGAGGCAAGGATTGAGAGGAGAAGAACGGATGTGTTGATGTGTCTTTTTTTCGCATTGAGAGCCTAGAGAGCAAAGACATCTTCCATTTTGAGGTTGACTTGGGGAATTATTCGGAGTTTTTCCGCATAGAAGTATGCTGCCGCTCTTGCTGGTATTTAAAAATTGCGTGGCAGTGGTTTTGACCGAGATGTTTTGTCAATTGTCGGGCCACGGTGCTGGTGTGCTCGTGCATATGAACGTAGGCGGAAGGCTGGGTGAACGAAGGCGCTGATCCAGTTTCTTTGTTTGGGATCGTGCATATTTGCATTTTCTTGCTCTGAAAATATTGTAGTCTGGGTATGCATTGTGGTGATCCAAACGATAATCTCACATAATTACTGACTTACTGTGCTTCCTTCAGCCTCGGTCTCACATCAATGGCCATTCCGACACATTTGTCTAACTAGCAGGACATGAATCCGGTAAAGCATCAAGACATCAAGCAGACCTCTTAACTGGTGCACAAGGCAACTCAGACGAGCGCTGCCGGGCTGCTGTCGAGACCCTGCGTGACGTAGCGCTCAGCTACCATCCAGCGACTTAGCTAAAGCCGCTGTCACACCTGGTGGTTCTCCAACAACTTGTCATTAATTTCGCCATTCCTCCCCGTTACTTCCTGAAGGCAGCCCAATTATTGTACATTGCAGATACTATTGCAGGTTGCGCCAAACATTTAGAAGTTCTTGAACAGGAAGTGCTACGCTTGCATAACCGTGCTCGCCATGCCTTCGATACTGGGGATGAAGAAGGGGCTTTGATCAGCTTTGCTTTGCTCTCAGAACCTTGGATGAGGAGAGTAGTTCTCTTTCAGTTCTTCATTGTGTTGCAATTCAGCCCAGCTTAACTTGAAGTTTGCCATGAAGTGTGTGTGCGTGTGTTGATTCAATACTCAATCAAACCAGCCTCATCAAAATCCGAGCTACGCCGGCATTCATCTCCAGAGCACAGACTCAATTTTGCTTATGGTATTTTATGGTTATATATTACTGTACGATACTGATCGATACTGTGCTGTACATTATTTGTTCGTTTTGTTGTAAACCAGTGGTGAGGAATTGGGCGCCAAGAATGCACACACCAATGCGGCAAGCCTCTGGAAGAAGGGAGAGAAGAACAGCCTGAAGTGCTGGAGGCAAGCCATTCAACAAGTTAGTTCTGTCAGGTGATTTCGATGTCATGCTCACTGTTGGAACAGCACAGATTGCAGACAGGTTTCATCTATAATGTCGGAGCTTGATTTAAAACGACAAGTCCAAGTCTGGACTAGGTGACTAGGAATCGCCTTTGTTGAAGGAAGTTCTGAAGAGAACAAAGGACACAAAAAGGATGTTCTTTCCTGTCCGTGGACATTTAGAATGCCTCTTGCTAAACACGAGGAATCAAAAGCAAAGCACTAGGATATTAGAGGAGATCAAAGGTTCAGTGGTGAATCTCATTGCAGTAGCAACAGGTTTTTGACATTATTACGACCCTCCAAACAAATCATATAATTCAATTCCAGGGTGCTTGTGGACTAGCCCCCTGAACTATTGTTTGGGGCAATTATTTGGATGAGTTTGATGAGATTGATAAGGGTGATTGGTATGCAGCTGTTGTGGGTTCTGGATGGTTCTGGTGATTACTGCAAGTGATTTAAGCCAAAACAGTTGGGAACAACAATGAAAACATCCTGACTGTTCAACCCCCCACAAATCTATTCAAGGGTTGGGAATGGTTTCACGAACACCTTTGTCCCATTTTACAAATCGGGACTCGACATTGCGCAGATCAATGGACAACTTTTGAGAGACAGTATAGAAAAGATGTAGAAGTCGACACTGTGGCAAGAGTCCATTGTTTCGGCCGGACAAAACAAATAACACCACAAAACGAGAATCAATTCGAGATCAATTTCTTTTGGCCCATGTCAATGTCTAATCATTTGCCGTTTCATCACTGCGGCTGGTCGACCGTTTCAGGCAAACATCGGTTGATCCTTCCGGACGGCTTTGCGAGCTGGATTACAGGCGAAGGCACTTTAGGACTTGGGGAACCAGGGGACATCGTTGATTGCTCATTGTCGTGAAAGTTATTTTCCGATCACTTTTACTGCCCTGAAGCATGCACAGTTTTCTCAAAGGGAAATAAGCTAATTTTGGAATTGACCTTAATGAATGTGTATGTTTGCCAGGGAGGCCCTCACAGGGAATGTGGACGCGATGCTACGCCTGGCCTCTTTGCACGAGCATTTGGGGGAGAAGACCCAGGCGCAGCACTGGATGCGCCAAGCCGGTGAAGCGGGCAGCGTCCAGGCCAAATACAGCATGGCCTACCTCCAGGAGGGTCGGTTTTGAGACGGGATGAGCGGCTCTAACAAATGAAAGGATGTGGACAGTTTGTTCGCCAGACTCTTGCCAAAAGAAAGAGAGGTGCACTTTGATGGTTCTGTTACTGTTCTAAAAGTGCCAGGCCAACGGGCCAGGCACACAAGATCGAGTTGGAGCTTGCACAGAGTATTGCAAGCTCTTGAAGCTTCAAGATGAGCCGCTAATTGCACGAGGCGGGACGGAAGCTATTCTTTTCCATCTTTTCCTGGATTTATTTGCTTGGCAGGGTAAGCGCAGGAAAGGGTGGGGAAGCATGAAGAAGCTAGGTTAACTAGGAGCGCAGAACCTTTTCTCAAACGTTTCCTAGACTATATACTGCAACTATATAACTATACATAGACTAAGCTCCCCAGTATGTGCTTCGGTCCTTCGTCGGACAAAGCATCTGCCAAGGTCTGGCACTCTTTCAGGTGATTCGCCTCAAGTTTTATCTTGGTGAAGCCTGTTGTGATCTTCCAGCTGCCGACGCACTGGTGCCATCCAAGAGCACGATCTTCGCGATTTTTGCAAGAAGCTTGGACTGAGACACCCGTACCAACAAGCTAGGCTACCTCAATGTGTCTCAAATTATAATCAATACCTTAATTACAGAAGAAATCACGGCTACATACCCTCTTCTTGAAACGTATCCGGGAAGGTGCCCAGCATCCCACTCAAATAGAAGGTTTCATTAGATATTGGATCCAAATGCCAAATGATTAACATTTTCTCGGCATTTTTGCTTTTCTGCTCAAACACATATATTTTATGTTTGAATTTGGCTTGGCCGGGTGGATCTTCTACTAGTTGAAATGATCTTCTATTTGACTTTCGGACCGTGTTTAGTCTTTGGGGTTTCTGATTGCCACCGAGCAGGCAATCGTGGATGTTTTCGTGAGAAACATAATATATCATGTATAATATGCGAAGAAGCACCAGTGCCACTGTTATTTGCTTGGAATGCTTGCGTTTTATGTTGTATGTTTTTCCCGAATGCGTAGCGAAGGGTTCTCGTTTAACTCTGGGGGTAGAGCCTTGTTCGCGACCAGTTGTCTAAGCGTTCGCAACCGTCGTCAACCGTTTGCAGGCGTCCGCGGTAGGACCTTAAGGCGCTGCCATCGGGGACAGAGGGTTTTGGATGGAAGCGTGACTCCGTTTTGGAGATGTGACGGTTGATGTTTGAAGACTTTAGTAGCAGTGCCCCGCAAGAGTGTCCTACAGAGTCCCACAAGAGTGTCCGACAAGAGTGTCCTACAAGAGTGCGCCACAAGAGTGTCCCACAAGAGTGCCCCACAAGAGTGTCCCACAAGAATGTCCGACAAGAGTGTCCTACAAGAGTGTCCCACAAAAGTGTCTCCTACAAGAGCTTAAACATTGTTTGGGTGCTTGTTTTCGAGTACGTGTTTGCATTCGGGTTCGTGGGGTCCATCTAATTTTATACGGGCTTGCAAGGAACTGCAAACATCTAAATGTAGCTCTAGTAGGCGTAAATTCCTACCAGCCTGAGGATTTGGCAGGCCTGGGGACAGTGGGAACAAAGCATTACTAATCAAATACGAAGAGATGTCTTGCATTTGGAAAAAGATGGGCACAATTCCGCATAGAACAGGGAACAAGTTCAATTAGAATACATTGTTATAAAATATAAACAATATAGTCTATTTGATGTTCGTTTGTATCTTCATTCTATATATGTTTTTGTTTTTCCTGTCAGCAGCAAAGCATCCAACACACAAATAATGCAGGATGGGTTTAGTGTTTTTCATGGTCAAGGCCAACATGGCCATGTTGCAAGAGGAGCTCTCCGGGTCGGAACATACGATGCAAAAATTAAAGAATTTCCTCCCTCAAGAGGTTTTGACCAAGAAAGGCCAAAATTGGATCTCAGGAACTACTTTTGCGACTCTGCGTTTCTTCTAGTGCACATGTTCTCGGGGAACACAAAAACTGCATGGTCTAATTGAATTAATTCCGGAATATGGTCTATATTTGTGGTATCCACTATACATATAATATATATATATACACATGATATTTTTTTTGTCAAAATAAATATGGAATCGAAGGGTTGAATTTTAGATCCAGTGTTGCACTGCCTTGCCATGAGGATATTGGAAGCCTGGTTGGGCATGAACCCTTTGAACGTCTTCATGTCTTTTTGCTCGCTTTGTTCCCATACCCAAGCCTCGTGCGTTGTGATGTATCAGATCGTATGGCTTAGGCACAACTGCAGCAGCTGTTTGCTTGGGTCTTACATGGTGGACGTGAAAGCTCTTGAGCGCAGCAAAATTGGGACTTTGTACAGGTGCACGTGCAGAACTCTCGCCGAGCCATGCCCACAGAATTCCCGCTGAAACAAATGATCGATGGATCGGGTGCCCCGAGATGCTGTGCCCGGTGAACAACGAGTGACAAGTTTAGCGCCTTCGTGGAGCATGGTCCGACGTCAATGCACCAAATTGGTCGCGGAAACAACACGCGCCAACTTCCTTGCACAGCTTTTGAAGGGCTGTTTTACATGGATTTGATGCGGAGAAAGCGCGACCAGAAGTTCTGAAGGATTGGCGTGTTCTGAACATTAGATGAGTAGATCAATTGTGCCAAGTGCTATCAGAAAGGTCTCTTGACCTGAATCTTGGAAGCCACAGCATGCCAGTTGTCGCTGATGTTTTGGCGCAGCTGGAAGCTGCCCGGCATCCTGGATGGGTTGTCACGGAACACAGATGAAAGATATCAAAGGGACGCATGTGAGAAGTGTGCACTAACAGCGATAGCCTCCACCTACAGTAGTAGGTTTGGCCTCCACCTAGTAGAGACAGCCTCTACCCTAGTAGCGATGGCCTCCACCGTAGCAGCGATGGCCTCCACCTACTAGCGATGGCCTCCACCCTAGTAGCGATGGCCTTCACCTAGTAGCGATAGCCTCCACCGTAGTAGCGATGGCCTCCACCTAGTAGCGATAGCCTCCACCCTTGTAGCGATGGCCTCCACCTAGTA